CTGTGACTTTTTCCGGTATACAATATTCTTTTGACTTGATAGTAAATATTACAGCCGGAAGGCGCGTTTTGCGTCAGGATGACTGATAAAGAATTGTTACCGCTTCGTCCGATCTTCTGCCTCGCCTCATTCTTTGTAACGTTGCACCTCGTTCATGGAGACCTGAGTTATTCTCTTTCTGAAGAGATGAAACGCGGGTCTGTGATTGGAAATGTAGCCAAAGATCTCGGTCTTGATCTTAGGACTTTTGTTTCTCGACAGGCCCGTTTGGATTTTGAGGGAACTCGGAAAAGGTACTGTGACATCAATCTGAATACCGGAGATTTGATCACATCGGAGAGAATGGACAGAGAAAGCCTTTGTGACAAGAAACCCTCGTGTGTTGTTAAAGTGGATCTGGTGTTAGAAAATCCTCTGGAGCTTCATCGTGTCAGTATTCATGTTCAAGATGTTAACGACAACTCGCCAAAATTCAGAGAGAATTTGATTGCGATGGAAATACACGAGTTGGCTGACAAGGGAAACCGCTTTTCTATCGAGGAGGCCCATGACGCAGATATTGGTCAAAATGCTGTTCAAAGGTACAACCTCCAAAAGAATGACCATTTCATTTTATCAGTGGACAACAATAGGGTTGAACTCGTGCTGGATAATAAACTCGATCGAGAGAAACAGAAGGAGATCAGTTTGCTCCTCACAGCTTTAGATGGAGGCTCTCCTCAGAGATCAGGTACTGTAGTCATACACGTCACTGTGCTGGATGCTAATGATAACGCCCCAGTGTTCAGTCAGGCCGTCTATAAAGCCAATCTGCCTGAAAACTCCCCTTTAGATACCATAGTGATTAAAGTAAGTGCTACAGACGCAGATGAAGGAGTCAATGGAGATGTGACATATGACTTTGGTCACGTGTCTGATATGTATGTAAATCTATTTTCTATTAATCCAAAAACTGGAGAAATTAAAGTAACTGGTGTGATTGACTTTGAGGAAAGTAATTCCTTTGAAATGAGAGTGCAAGGTAAAGATGGTTTAGGTCTTATCTCATACGCCAAAGTTATAATAGATGTTAGCGATGTGAATGACAATGCTCCAGTGATATACCTGAAATCACTGACTAACCCCATACCTGAGAACGTGTCACCTGGTACAGAGGTGGGCATCATTAACGTGCAGGATAGAGACTCTGAGACTAACAGACAGGTCCGCTGCTCCATTCAGCAGAATGTCCCTTTTAAGTTGGTTCCTTCTATTAAAAACTATTATTCTGTGGTGAGCACAGGACAACTGGACCGTGAACTAGTGTCTGATTACAACATTACAATCACTGCCACTGACGAGGGCTCTCCACCTCTGTCCTCCTCTAAAACTGTTCAGTTATCTGTAGCAGACATCAACGACAACCCACCTGTGTTTGAGGAACAGTCGTACAGCGCATATGTGAGTGAAAATAACAAACCTGGCTCCACTTTATGTTCCGTTAGTGCTCGAGACCCCGACTGGAGACAGAACGGTACAGTGGTTTATTCTCTGTTATCCGGTGAGGTGAACGGTGCCCCGGTGTCCTCCTATGTGTCTGTGAACGGAGACACGGGGGTGATCCACGCTGTGAGGTCGTTTGATTATGAACAGTTCAGGAGCTTTAAGGTGCACGTGATGGCCAGAGACAACGGTTCTCCTCCACTCAGCAGCAACGTGACCGTGAGTGTGTTCATATCGGATGTGAATGATAACTCTCCTCAGATACTGTACCCCGCCCCGGAGGGCAACTCCTTCATGACCGAGCTGGTCCCCAAAGCTGCACACGGAGGCTCTCTGGTGTCCAAAGTGATAGCGGTGGACGCGGACTCCGGACAGAACGCCTGGCTGTCCTATCATATAGTGAAATCCACTGATCCGGGACTTTTCTCTATTGGTGTCCACAGCGGAGAGATCAGGACCCAGCGGGACATTTCTGAGTCTGACAGCATGAAACAGAACCTTATTGTGTCAGTGAAAGATAACGGACAGCCCTCTCTGTCTGCCACCTGTTCCATGTATTTACTGATTTCTGATAACTTGGCTGAGGTGCCAGAACTGAAGGACATTTCTTATGATGAGAAGAACTCCAAACTGACCTCTTATCTGATCATCGCGCTGGTGTGTGTGTCCACCTTTTTTCTGACCTTCATCATCATCATCATGGGTGTGAGGTTTTGTCGCAGGAGAAAGCCCAGACTGTTGTTTGACGGAGCAGTCGCCATCCCCAGCGCTTATCTTCCTCCTAATTACGCAGATGTTGACGGCACAGGGACTTTACGCAGCGCTTACAATTATGACGCCTACCTGACAACAGGGTCTCGAACCAGTGACTTTAAGTTTGTGTCATCTTACAATGACAACACACTGCCTGCTGACCAGACTCTGAGGAAAAGCCCGACAGACTTTGCTGACCCCTTTGAAGACCTCGATACTACATTAGAGGTAGGACCTTTTTAGAGTAGTTTTATTGTTTTTTTGTATTGAGTTTGTCTTGCTTGACCAGCTGTTTAACTCTTGTTCATGGCAGCAGCAATGTTCCTTCACTCAGAATTAAATTATTTTTAAAAGCGCCTGAAACATTTAAAGTGATGTTGTTTTTCCTGTCGTTTCTAACTAGCTCATGAAATGTATTTAGGTTTGTGTCATTTCCACTCTGTTGTTAAATGCCGTTTTAGATGGATCCTGTATTTTGGACTTCTTTCATAAAGGTACACATGAACACTCATGCCAAAAAGTAATTAAGATATTTGAATAAGTGGTTGTATAAATGGATAAGTATGGACTTTCCTGAATGGAGAAATTATTTTTTGCTTTGGAACTAGAATCTCACGGTAGATAAAGACCAGTCAGTTGTTTCTGTCTGCGTTAGTTTCTCAGAAAACTTAGGCAGTGATGGAGAAATTAAATTCCTGTCCCTTACAAATGAAAGAGTCTTTTTGATAGATGTAATAAGTATTACATTTATATTCTCTGCAATGACAAAAATAGTTGTGCAATGTATTGTTTGCTGTTAACAATCATTGCTAATCACCAACGACTTCAATAGTTATAACTCTTTATCACTGTTTAAATTTGTTTTGATTGGTCTAGCTGGAGTTAAATCTTTGACTATGGCTCAAAGGTTTTAAATTAATTTACTCAAGCACGGTTTCTGTGTACAATTCTTTGAGACTTTAAGTATTTATTTTTTTGATTTTTTCAACTTTTACATTTCTGAGATATTATTCAGCTTAATCTCTATCATATAATGGTAAATGTTAGAAGTTTTAAAAATGACAATGTAAAGAAAATTTTGCTTAAAAATGTTGATATAGAATCAGTGGCTCACAGCCTTTCTGACTTTTGACTCGTTACAAAAAAGGAGTCTTTGATTGAGCATTTTTAACAGGTTTTAGATTACGAGTTTTTAGCACTTGATCCACTGAGAGATATTCCTTCTCAATTTTATAGATGGTTAATTTGTACATCCATTATTGGCTCAGAAAAATAAAAAAAATCTATAATTTAGCGACGAGAGTAGACTCAGTGGAAATAGAAAAATAAATAAACTAGCATGACAGAAGTTTTTCTTGTGTTCTCTTTCACAATAATTGTTTCACCTCCGTTTGATCGACCCTATGGAGGGGGCAAAGTTCAAGGTTTGTAACCTCTGGTCTTCAATATAAAACTTTGTATTTGTTAGTGACATCCAAGTAAAAAAATGGAGTTTGAATAGTGAAGATCTTCTTGATCATTTATGCATTATTATTTTATCTCTCATTTCATGTAGGTATCATAATTTATTATATGTTGTTTTCTCCAGAAAGAACAACACTTTTCACAATTTTAATATATTTTGCTGTTCATAGTTTTACACTTATGAAGACTATTGTATGCCTTACACTTCATTACGGAACATTTTTTAGATATATGTTCTAACCTTTAAAAAAGCATTTGAAATGACTTCATCTCTTACCGCTGTCCATGGTGCTGAATATTGCATCTTTATTAAGCTGTAGCTGCAAGCTAATGTTGTGATCATGACATGAAGTGTTGTCATTAAAGTTGAGTAAGTTGTAAAGTGATGAGGACAAGATTGTTATTGCATTCAATTGTCTCCCTCATCTTCAACGTTTGTATCTTGCTTTATGTGCTTTATCAATAATAATTTGAAATGTATTGGTTATTGGGCTTCTGTTCTTTAGTTAATATGTCGTTGTGGTTTTAATGGACTGAGTGCAGAAAATATCATCACATAACAGTGTAGAGATAAAAAGCGACTCATGGTGTCGCTATTGGCTGACAGAAACTTAACACGAACAAGTCCACCCACTAACACCAAATGAATATCAGTTGTATTTTTCCAGGAGAGGGTTGAATCCGCAAACATAGGTTTATGAGCACCGAGGCATCAGTTGCAGTATTGAGTCTTTGACCTTTTTTGTGGGATATATGTGTTGAATCGCTCCAAACAAGAAGTTGCGAAGTCCGAAAGCGCGTTTTGTGTCAGGATGACAGACAAAGGATTTTCACTGCTTCGTCCGATCTTCTTCTTCACATCCTTCTTTGTAACGTTGCACCTCGTTAATGGAGACCTGAGTTATTCCATACCAGAAGAGATGAAACGCGGGACTGTCATTGGAAATGTAGCCAAAGATCTCGGTCTTGATCTTAGGACCTTTGTTTCTCGACAGGCCCGTTTGGATTTTGAGGGAACTCGGAAAAGGTACTGTGACATCAGTCTGAATACCGGAGATTTGATCACATCGGAGAGAATGGACAGAGAAAGCCTTTGTGGCAAGAAACCCTCGTGTGTTGTTAAAGTAGATCTGGTGTTAGAAAATCCTCTGGAGCTTCATCGTGTTAGTATTCATGTTCAAGATGTTAACGACAACTCGCCACAATTCACCGAGAATTTGGTTGAGATGGAAATACGCGAGTCAGCTGAAAAGGGAAACCGCTTTTCTATCGAGGAGGCCCATGACGCAGATATTGGTCAAAATGCTGTTCAAAGCTACAACCTCCAAAAGAATGACCATTTCATTTTATCAGTGGACAACAATAGGGTTGAAATCGTGCTGGATAATAAACTCGATCGAGAGAAACAGAAGGAGATCAATTTGCTCCTCACAGCTTTAGATGGAGGCTCTCCTCAGAGATCAGGTACTGTAGTCATACACGTCACTGTACTGGATGCTAATGATAACGCCCCAGTGTTCAGTCAGGCCGTCTATAAAGCCAGTCTGCCTGAAAACTCTCCTTTAGATACCATTGTCATTACTGTAAGTGCTACAGACGCAGATGAAGGAGTGAACGGAGATGTGAGTTATGACTTCGGTCACATATCTGATATGGATGTGAATTTGTTTTCTATAGATCCAAAAACTGGAGAAATTAAAGTAACTGGTGTGATTGACTTTGAGGAAAGTAATTCATTTGAAATCAGAGTGAAAGCAAAAGATGGTTTAGGTCTTGCCTCATACGCAAAAGTTATAATAGATGTTAGTGATGTGAATGACAATGCTCCAGTGATATACATGAAATCACTGACTAACCCCATACCTGAGAACGTGTCACCTGGTACAGAGGTGGGCATCATTAACGTGCAGGATAGAGACTCTGAGACTAACAGGCAGGTCCGCTGCTCCATTCAGCAGAATGTCCCTTTTAAATTGGTTCCTTCTATTAAAAACTATTATTCTGTGGTGAGCACAGGACAACTGGACCGTGAACTAGTGTCTGATTACAACATTACAATCACTGCCACTGACGAGGGCTCTCCACCTCTGTCCTCCTCTAAAACTGTTCAGTTATCTGTAGCAGACATCAACGACAACCCACCTGTGTTTGGGAACAGTCGTACAGCGCATATGTGAGTGAAAATAACAAACCTGGCTCCACTTTATGTTCCGTTAGTGCTCGAGACCCCGACTGGAGACAGAACGGTACAGTGGTTTATTCTCTGTTATCCGGTGAGGTGAACGGTGCCCCGGTGTCCTCCTATGTGTCTGTGAACGGAGACACGGGGGTGATCCACGCTGTGAGGTCGTTTGATTATGAACAGTTCAGGAGCTTTAAAGTGCACGTGATGGCCAGAGACAACGGTTCTCCTCCACTCAGCAGCAACGTGACCGTGAGTGTGTTCATATCGGATGTGAATGATAACTCTCCTCAGATACTGTACCCCGCCCCGGAGGGCAACTCCTTCATGACCGAGCTGGTCCCCAAAGCTGCACACGGAGGCTCTCTGGTGTCCAAAGTGATAGCGGTGGACGCGGACTCCGGACAGAACGCCTGGCTGTCCTATCATATAGTGAAATCCACTGATCCGGGACTTTTCACTATTGGTGTCCACAGCGGAGAGATCAGGACCCAGCGGGACATTTCTGAGTCTGACAGCATGAAACAGAACCTTATTGTGTCAGTGAAAGATAACGGACAGCCCTCTCTGTCTGCCACCTGTTCCATGTATTTACTGATTTCTGATAACTTGGCTGAGGTGCCAGAACTGAAGGACATTTCTTATGATGAGAAGAACTCCAAACTGACCTCTTATCTGATCATCGCGCTGGTGTGTGTGTCCACCTTTTTTCTGACCTTCATCATCATCATCATGGGTGTGAGGTTTTGTCGCAGGAGAAAGCCCAGACTGTTGTTTGACGGAGCAGTCGCCATCCCCAGCGCTTATCTTCCTCCTAATTACGCAGATGTTGACGGCACAGGGACTTTACGCAGCGCTTACAATTATGACGCCTACCTGACAACAGGGTCTCGAACCAGTGACTTTAAGTTTGTGTCATCTTACAATGACAACACACTGCCTGCTGACCAGACTCTGAGGAAAAGCCCGACAGACTTTGCTGACCCCTTTGAAGACCTCGATTCTTCATTAGAGGTAGGACCTTTTTGGAGTAGTTAAATAGTTTTCTATTTATTGCGTTTGTCTTGCTTGACCAGCTGTTTAATTATTGATATGGCAACAGAAATGTTTCTTCACTTCTACTAAATGATTTTCAGAAGTGTAAGAAACATTTAAAGGTTTTTGTTGTTGGTGTTGTTCCTGTTGTTTCACTTATGAAGTGCTTGAACGTTTTTGATAAGACCCTTCTGTTGTGAATATCATTTTTAAATGGATTCTGTTCTTGGGTCTATTTTCATAAAAGTACACATTAACTCTTTGCAAATCGTAATTAAAATATTTCATTAAGTGGTTGTACAAACGGATAAATATTGACTTTCCTGAATGCAAAAATGATGTATTCCTTTGGAATCTGGAGTCTTATGGTAGCTAAAGACCAGGAGACTTTCAATTCATGTCACTTAAAAATGAAAGAGCCCTTTAGATACATGTTATAAGTATAAAGCTTTTATCCTAGGAAATGATTTATTTATGGGAAGATATCTTTTGTTTGTCAGCCTTTTAAAGGTGTCAGTTTTTTAAATTTGGAAGCTTTCTCACATTCTTGGAGTCCAAGAATGCTGGACAGATATAGGAGACCACTCTAACAGGCAATTTCTTTGTCTCATGATCACATTGTTCATCCTTTCCTATTCCACCTAAAAGTAACCGTTTGTAGAGCTTAAATACTTTCTATTCCAAATTGGAACCATAGATATACTTATTTCTTTAACCACGTTGAAAAATGTGTACGTACTGAACGAGTTATATATTCCAGAATATATACACATTTTTTTCTTTTTGCTACAATGAGAATAAATATAGTCCTCTTTTAAAAATCACAATAATCAATTTTAAATTGTGGTTATTCTCCTGAATGTTTCATCTCTTTTAATTTCATACTCACCCACAGTTCGGTTGAAGTGTTATATTATGTTATTGGTATGTTTAGTTTCATCCATAAAGGTGTTTTGGAATTCTTAAACATCAGCTCAACAGTATGTGTTTGTTTTCAATCAGGGGTGTCTTTGAAACTAGAGTTAAATCATTCACCATAACTCAAAGGTTTTTAATGAACTTCCTCAAGCACAGTTTCTGTGTAAGATTTATAGAGACTTTGAGTATTTTTTAGATCTATATTTCCACTTTCTAATTTTCTGAGACATTTTTTATTTTCAACTCCATTATATAACAGTAAACATTATAAGTTTTTAAAATTACAATCTCATGAACATTTTGCCTGTAAATGTTGATATCGAATCAGTTCTTCACAGCCTTTCTGACTTGTGACTCGTTACAAAAAAATTGTGTTTGGAAGAGAATTTTTAACACCTTTTAGATTAAGAGTTTTTAGTACTTCATCCACTGAGAGATATTCCCTCTTAATTTAATAGATGGTTAATTTGTACATCTCTTATTGGCTCAGGAAAATAAATAAAAATCTATGTACAAAATGTACCTATGATGAGAAAATAAAATTCTAGACTGAAGTAGAAAGAGAAAATACATGTTTGTTTTCTCCCATATTAGGCACATGCACAATTTTAAGATAATTTTCTCTACATATTATTATACTTTTGAAGACTGTTGTAGGTCTTACACTTCAAACGGAACATTTTTTAGATATGTGTTCTAACCTTTAAACACGCATTTCAAATTCCTTCATCTCCTACCGCTGTCCATGGTGCTGAATATTGCATCTCTGTTAAGCTGTAGCTGCAAGCTTATGTTTTGATAATCACATGAAGTGTTTACATTAAAGTTGAGTAAGTTTTAAAGTGATGAGGAGAAGATAACATGTTGTTATTGCATTCGATTGTCTCCCTCATTTTCAAAGTTTATATCTTGCTTTTAGCGCTTTATCAATAATAATTTGAAATATATTGCTTATTGGGCTTCTGTTCTTTAGTTAATATGTCGTTGTTGTTTTCATGGACTGAGTGCAGAAAATATCATCACATAACAGTGTAGAGATAAAAAGCGACTCATGGTGTCGCTATTGGCTGACAGAAACTTAACACGAACAAGTCCACCCACTAACACCAAATGAATATCAGTTGTATTTTTCCAGGGGAGGGTTGAATCCGCAAACACAGGTTTGTGGGCACCGAGGCATCATTTGCAGTATTGAGTCTTTGACCTTTTTTGTTGGGTATATGTGTTGAATCGCTCTAGACAAGAAGTTGCGAAGTCCGAAAGCGCGTTTTGTGTCAGGATGACAGACAAAGGATTTTCACTGCTTCGTCCGATCTTCTTCTTCACATCCTTCTTTGTAACGTTGCACCTCGTTAATGGAGACCTGAGTTATTCCACACCAGAAGAGATGAAACGCGGGACTGTCATTGGGAATGTAGCCAAAGATCTCGGTCTTGATCTTAGGACTTTTGTTTCTCGACAGGCCCGTTTGGATTTTGAGGGAACTCGGAAAAGGTACTGTGACATCAATCTGAATACCGGAGATTTGATGACATCGGAGAGAATGGACAGAGAAAGCCTTTGTGGCAAGAAACCCTCGTGTGTTGTTAAAGTAGATCTGGTGTTAGAAAATCCTCTGGAGCTTCATCGTGTCAGTATTCATGTTCAAGATGTTAACGACAACTCGCCACAATTTACCGAAAATTTGGTTGAGATGGAAATACGGGAGTCAGCTGACAAGGGAAACCGCTTTTCTATCGAGGAGGCCCATGACGCAGATATTGGTCAAAATGCTGTTCAAAGGTACAACCTCCAAAAGAATGACCATTTCATTTTATCAGTGGACAACAATAAGGTTGAACTCGTGCTGGATAATACACTTGATCGAGAGAAACAGAAAGAGATCAGTTTGCTCCTCACAGCTTTAGATGGAGGCTCTCCTCAGAGATCAGGTACTGTAGTCATACACGTCACTGTGCTGGATGCTAATGATAACGCCCCAGTGTTCAGTCAGGCCGTCTATAAAGCCAGTCTGCCTGAAAACTCTCCTTTAGATACCATAGTGATCAAAGTAAGTGCTACAGACGCAGATGAAGGAGTGAACGGAGATGTGAGTTATGACTTCGGTCACGTGTCTGATATGGATGTGAATTTGTTTTCTATAGATCCCAAAACTGGAGCAATTAAAGTAACTGGTGTGATTGACTTTGAGGAAAGTAGTTCATTTGAAATGAGAGTGAAAGCAAAAGATGGTTTAGGTCTTACCTCTTACGCCAAAGTTATAATAGATGTCAGTGATGTGAATGACAATGCTCCAGTGATATACCTGAAGTCACTGACTAACCCCATACCTGAGAACGTGTCACCTGGTACAGAGGTGGGCATCATTAACGTGCAGGATAGAGACTCTGAGACTAACAGACAGGTCCGCTGCTCCATTCAGCAAAATGTCCCTTTTAAGTTGGTTCCTTCTATTAAAAACTATTATTCTGTGGTGAGCACAGGACAACTGGACCGTGAACTAGTGTCTGATTACAACATTACAATCACTGCCACTGACGAGGGCTCTCCACCTCTGTCCTCCTCTAAAACTGTTCAGTTATCTGTAGCAGACATCAACGACAACCCACCTGTGTTTGAGGAACAGTCGTACAGCGCATATGTGAGTGAAAATAACAAACCTGGCTCCACTTTATGTTCCGTTAGTGCTCGAGACCCCGACTGGAGACAGAACGGTACAGTGGTTTATTCTCTGTTATCCGGTGAGGTGAACGGTGCCCCGGTGTCCTCCTATGTGTCAGTGAACGGAGACACGGGGGTGATCCACGCTGTGAGGTCGTTTGATTATGAACAGTTCAGGAGCTTTAAAGTGCACGTGATGGCCAGAGACAACGGTTCTCCTCCGCTCAGCAGCAACGTGACCGTGAGTGTGTTCATATCGGATGTGAATGATAACTCTCCTCAGATACTGTACCCCGCCCCGGAGGGCAACTCCTTCATGACCGAGCTGGTCCCCAAAGCTGCACACGGAGGCTCTCTGGTGTCCAAAGTGATAGCGGTGGACGCGGACTCCGGACAGAACGCCTGGCTGTCCTATCATATAGTGAAATCCACTGATCCGGGACTTTTCACTATTGGTGTCCACAGCGGAGAGATCAGGACCCAGCGGGACATTTCTGAGTCTGACAGCATGAAACAGAACCTTATTGTGTCAGTGAAAGATAACGGACAGCCCTCTCTGTCTGCCACCTGTTCCATGTATTTACTGATTTCTGATAACTTGGCTGAGGTGCCAGAACTGAAGGACATTTCTTATGATGAGAAGAACTCCAAACTGACCTCTTATCTGATCATCGCACTGGTGTGTGTGTCCACCTTTTTTCTGACCTTCATCATCATCATCATGGGTGTGAGGTTTTGTCGCAGGAGAAAGCCCAGACTGTTGTTTGACGGAGCAGTTGCCATCCCCAGCGCTTATCTTCCTCCTAATTACGCAGATGTTGACGGCACAGGGACTTTACGCAGCGCTTACAATTATGACGCCTACCTGACAACAGGGTCTCGAACCAGTGACTTTAAGTTTGTGTCATCTTACAATGACAACACACTGCTTGCTGACCAGACTCTGAGGAAAAGCCCGACAGACTTTGCTGACCCCTTTGAAGACCTCGATACTACATTAGAGGTAGGACCTTTTTAGAGTAGTTTTATTGTTTTTTTGTATTGAGTTTGTCTTGCTTGACCAGCTGTTTAACTCTTGTTCATGGCAGCAGCAATGTTCCTTCACTCAGAATTAAATTATTTTTAAAAGCGCCTGAAACATTTAAAGTGATGTTGCTTTTCCTTTCGTTTCTAACTAGCTCATGAAATGTATTTAGGTTTGTGTCACTTCCACTCTGTTGTTAAAAGCCGTTTTAGATGGATCCTGTATTTTGGTCTTCTTTCATAAAGGTACACATGAACACTCATGCCAAAAAGTAATTAAGATATTTGAATAAGTGGTTGTACAAATGGATACATATTGACGTACTTGAATGGAGAAAATATTTATTGCTTTGGAACTAGAATCTCACGGTAGATAAAGACCAGTGAGTTGTTTCTGCCTGCGTTTGTTTCTCAGAAAACTTAGGCAGTGATGGAGAAATTAATTTCCTGTCCCTTACAAATTAAAGAGACTTTTTGATAGATGTAATAAGTATTACATTTATATTCTCTGCAATAAGAAAAATAGTTGTGCAATGTATTGTTTGCTGTTAAGATTGAGCATTTTTAACAGGTTTTAGATTACGAGTTTTTAGCACTTGATCCACTGAGAGATATTCCTTCTCAATTTTATAGATGGTTAATTTGTACATCTGTTATTGGCTCAGAAAAATAAAACAATCTATAATTTAGCGAAAACACTCATGGTAATTAAATCAGAGATAGACTCAGTGGAAATAGAAAAATAAATCAACTAGCATGACAGAAGTTTTTCTTGTGTTCTCTTTCACAATAATTGTATCACCTCCGTTTGATCGACCCTATGGAGGGGGCAAAGTTCAAGGTTTGTAACCTCTGGTCTTCAATATAAAACTTTGTATTTGTTAGTGACATCCAAGTAAAAAAAATGGAGTTTGAATAGTGAAGATCTTCTTGATCATTTATGCATTATTATTTTATCTGTCATTAAATGTAGGTATAATAATATATTATGTGTTGGTTTCCTCCAGAAAGAACAACACGTTTCACAATTTTAAGATACTTTGCTGTTCATAGTTTTACACTTATGAAGACTATTGTAGGCCTTACACTTCAAACTGAAATTTTTTAGATACGTGTTCTAACCATACACTGTAAATATGGTTCTAACCTTTAAATAAGCATTTAAAATGACTTCATCTTTTACGCTGTCCATGGTGCTGAATATTGCATCTTTATTAAGTTGTAGCTGCAAGCTAATGTTTTGATCATGACATGAAGTGTTTACATTAAAGTTGAATATGTTTTAAAGTGATGAGCACAAGATTACATGCTGTTATTGCATTCGATTGTCTCCCTCATCTTCAACGTTTGTATCTCGCTTTTAGCGCTTTTACAATAATAATTTGAAATATATTGCTTATTGGGCTTCTGTTGTTTAGTTAATATGTCGTTGTTGTTTTCATGGACTGAGTGCAGAAAATATCATAACATAAGAGTGTAGAGATAAAAAGCGACTCATGGTGTCGCTATTGGCTGACAGAAACTTAACACGAACAAGTCCACCCACTAACACCAAATGAATATCAGTTGTATTTTTCCAGAGGAGGGTTGAATCCGCAAACATAGGTTTATGAGCACCGAGGCATCAGTTGCAGTATTGAGTCTTTGAACTTTTTTGTGGTATATATGTGTTGAATCGCTCCAAACAAGAAGTTGCGAAGTCCGAAAGCGCGTTTTGTGTCAGGATGACAGACAAAGGATTTTCACTGCTTCGTCCGATCTTCTTCTTCACATCCTTCTTTGTAACGTTGCACCTCGTTAATGGAGACCTGAGTTATTCCATACCAGAAGAAATGAAACGTGGGACTGTCATTGGGAATGTAGCCAAAGATCTCGGTCTTGATCGCACAACATTTTCTTCACGACAGGCCCGTTTGGATTTTGAGGGAACTCGGAAAAGGTACTGTGACATCAATCTGAATACCGGAGATTTGATCACATCGGAGAGAATGGACAGAGAAAGCCTTTGTGACAAGAAACCCTCGTGTGTTGTTAAAGTAGATCTGGTGTTAGAAAATCCTCTGGAGCTTCATCGTGTCAGTATTCATGTTCAAGATGTTAACGACAACTCGCCACAATTCACCGAGAATCTGATTGAGATGGAAATACGAGAGTCAGCTGAAAAGGGAAACCGCTTTTCTATCGAGGAGGCCCATGACGCAGATATTGGTCAAAATGCTGTTCAAAGGTACAACCTCCAAAAGAATGACCATTTCATTTTATCAGTGGACAACAATAAGGTTGAACTCGTGCTGGACAAAAAACTTGATCGAGAGAAACAGAAGGAGATCAATTTGCTCCTCACAGCTTTAGATGGAGGCTCTCCTCAGAGATCAGGTACTGTAGTCATACACGTCACTGTGCTGGATGCTAATGATAACGCCCCAGTGTTCAGTCAGGCCGTTTATAAAGCCAGTCTGCCTGAAAACTCTCCTTTAGATACTATTTTGATTAAAGTAAGCGCTACAGACGCAGATGAAGGAGTCAATGGAGATGTGACATATGACTTTGGTCGCATGTCTGACATGTATGTAAATTTGTTTTCTATTGATCCAAAATCTGGAGAAATTAAAGTAACTGGTGTGATTGACTTTGAGGAAAGTAATTCATTTGAAATGAGAGTGAAAGCGAAAGATGGTTTAGGTCTTACCTCGTACGCTAAAGTTATAATAGATGTTAGTGATGTGAATGACAATGCTCCAGTGATATACCTGAAATCACTGACTAACCCCATACCTGAGAACGTGTCACCTGGTACAGAGGTGGGCATCATTAACGTGCAGGATAGAGACTCTGAGACTAACAGACAGGTCCGCTGCTCCATTCAGCAAAATGTCCCTTTTAAGTTGGTTCCTTCTATTAAAAACTATTATTCTGTGGTGAGCACAGGACAACTGGACCGTGAACTAGTGTCTGATTACAACATTACAATCACTGCCACTGACGAGGGCTCTCCACCTCTGTCCTCCTCTAAAACTGTTCAGTTATCTGTAGCAGACATCAACGACAACCCACCTGTGTTTGAGGAACAGTCGTACAGCGCATATGTGAGTGAAAATAACAAACCTGGCTCCACTTTATGTTCCGTTAGTGCTCGAGACCCCGACTGGAGACAGAACGGTACAGTGGTTTATTCTCTGTTATCCGGTGAGGTGAACGGTGCCCCGGTGTCCTCCTATGTGTCTGTAAACGGAGACACGGGGGTGATCCACGCTGTGAGGTCGTTTGATTATGAACAGTTCAGGAGCTTTAAGGTGCACGTGATGGCCAGAGACAACGGTTCTCCTCCACTCAGCAGCAACGTGACCGTGAGTGTGTTCATATCGGATGTGAATGACAACTCTCCTCAGATATTGTACCCCGCCCCGGAGGGCAACTCCTTCATGACCGAGCTGGTCCCCAAAGCTGCACACGGAGGCTCTCTGGTGTCCAAAGTGATAGCGGTGGACGCGGACTCCGGACAGAACGCCTGGCTGTCCTATCATATAGTGAAATCCACTGATCCGGGACTTTTCACTATTGGTGTCCACAGCGGAGAGATCAGGACCCAGCGGGACATTTCTGAGTCTGACAGCATGAAACAGAACCTTATTGTGTCAGTGAAAGATAACGGACAGCCCTCTCTGTCTGCCACCTGTTCCATGTATTTACTGATTTCTGATAACTTGGCTGAGGTGCCAGAACTGAAGGACATTTCTTATGATGAGAAGAACTCCAAACTGACCTCTTATCTGATCATCGCGCTGGTGTGTGTGTCCACCTTTTTCCTGACCTTCATCATCATCATCATGGGTGTGAGGTTTTGTCGCAGGAGAAAGCCCAGACTGTTGTTTGACGGAGCAGTCGCCATCCCCAGCGCTTATCTTCCTCCTAATTACGCAGATGTTGACGGCACAGGGACTTTACGCAGCGCTTACAATTATGACGCCTACCTGACGACAGGGTCTCGAACCAGTGACTTTAAGTTTGTGTCATCTTACAATGACAACACACTGCCTGCTGACCAGACTCTGAGGAAAAGCCCGACAGACTTTGCTGACCCCTTTGAAGACCTCGATTCTTCATTAGAGGTAGGACCTTTTTGGAGTAGTTTAATAGTTTTCTATTGATTGCGTTTGGAATGCTTGGTCATCTGTTTAATTATTGACATGGCAACAGAAATGTTTCTTCACTTCTATTAAATGATTTTCACAAGTGTAAGAAACATTTAAAGGTTTTTGTTGTTGGTGTTGTTCCTGTTGTTTTTACTTATGAAGTGCTTTAACGTTTTTGATAAGACCCTTCTGTTGTGAATATCATTTTTAAATGGATTCTGGTCTTGGGTCTACTTTCATAAAAGTACACATTAACTCTTTGCAAATAGTAATTAAAATATTTCATTAAGTGGTTGTGGAAACGGATAAGTATTGACTTTCTTGAATGAAAAAATTATGTATTCCTTTGGAAACTGGAGTCTTATGGTAGATAAAGACAGGGAGACTTTCAATTCATGTCACTTAAAAATGAAAGAGCCCTTTAGATACATGTTATAAGTATAAAGCTTTTATCCTAGGAAATGATTTATTTATGGGAAGATATCTTTTGTTTGTCAGCCTTTGAAAGGTGTCAGTTTTTTAAACTTGGAAGCTTTCTCACATTCTTGGAGTCCAAGAATGCTGGACAGGTATAGGAGACCACTCTAACAGGCAGTATCTTTGTGTCATTATCACATTATTCATCCTTTCCTATTCCACCTAAAAGTAACCGTTTGTAGTGCTGAAATACTTTCCATTCCAAACTGGAACCATAGATATACTTATTTCTTTAACCATGTTGAAAAATGTGTACGTACTGAACGAGTTATATATTCCAGAATACATGCACATTTCTTGTCTTTGCTACAATTAGAATAAATATAGTGCTCTTTTAAAAATCACAAAAATCTATTTTGAATTGTGGTTATTCTCCTGAATGTTTCATCTCTTTTTATTTCGTACTCACCCACAGTTAGGTTGAAGTGTTATATTGTGTTATTGGTATGTTTAGTTTCATCCATAAAGGTGTTTTGGAATTCTTAAACAGCAGCTTAACAGTATGTGTTTGTTTTCAATCACGAGTGTCTTTGATGAAGCTAGAGTTAAATCATTGACCATAACTCAAAGGTTTTAAATGAATTTCCTGAAGCAAAGTTTCTGTGTAAGATTCTTGGAGACTTTAATAATTTGTTTTAATATATATTTCCACTTTCTAAATTTCTGAGAAATCTTTTATTTTCAACTCCATTTTATAACAGTAAACATTCAAAGTTTTAAAAATTACAATCTCATGAACATTTTGCTTGTAAGTGTTGATATAGAATCAGTGGCTCACAGCCTTTCTGACTTGTGACTCATTACAAAAAAGGAGTGTTTGATTGAGCATTTTAACAGGTTTTAGATTAAGAATTTTTAGCACTTGATCCACTGAGAGATATTCCCTCTTGATTTTATAGATGGTTAATTTGTACATCTGTTATTGGCTCAGGAAAATAAAACAAATCTATTTAGAAAATTCACTCATGTTGAGAAAATCAAATTGTAGACTTTGGTAGAAATAGAAAATTAAATCAACTAGCATGACAGAAGTTTTTTTTGTGTTCTCTTCCACAATAATTGTATAACCCCTCCATTTTATTGACCCTACGGAGGGGGCAAAGTTCAAGGTTTGTAACCTCTTGCCTTGACTTTAAAACTTTGTATTTGTTAGTGACATCCAAGTAAAAAAGAACAAGTTTTAATCGTGAAGATCTTCTTGATCATTCATGAATTAGTATTTTATCTGTCATTTCATGTCGGTATCATAATTTATTATGTGTTTGTTTTCTCCAGAAAGAACAACACTTTTCACAATTTTAAGATATTTTGCTGTTCTTAGTTTTACATCTATGAAGACTATTGTAGGCCTTACACTTGATACAGAACATATTTTCGATATGCGTTCTAACCTTTAAATAAGCATTTGAAATGACTTCATCTCTTACCGCTGTCCATGGTGCTGAATATTGCATCTTTATTAAGCTGTAGCTGCAAGCTAATGTTTTGATCATGACATGAAGTGTTGGCATTAAAGTTGAGTAAGTTGTAAAGTGATGAGGACAAGATTACATGTTATTATTGCATTCGATTGTCTCCCTCATCTTCAACGTTTGTATCTTGCTTTTAGGGCTTTATCAATAATAATTTGAAATATATTGTTTATTGGGCTTCTGTTGTTTAGTTAATATGTCGTTGTGGTTTTCATGGACTGAGTGCAGAAAATATCATAACATAAGAGTGTAGAGATAAAAAGCGACTCATGGTGTCGCTATTGGCTGACAGAAACTTAACACGAACAAGTCCACCCACTAACACCAAATGAATATCAGTTGTATTTTTCCAGGAGAGGGTTGAATCCGCAAACATAGGTTTATGAGCACCGAGGCATCATTTGCGGTATTGAGTCTTTGACCTTTTTTGTGGGATATATGTGTTGAATCGCTCCAAACAAGAAGTTGCGAAGTCCGAAAGCGCGTTTTGTGTCAGGATGACAGACAAAGGATTTTCACTGCTTCGTCCGATCTTCTTCTTCACATCCTTCTTTGTAACGTTGCACCTCGTTAATGGAGACCTGAGTTATTCCATACCAGAAGAGATGAAACGTGGGACTGTCATTGGGAATGTAGCCAAAGATCTCGGTCTTGATCTAAGGACCTTTGTTTCTCGACAGGCCCGTTTGGATTTTGAGGGAACTCGGAAAAGGTACTGTGACATCAATCTGAATACCGGAGATTTGATGACATCGGAGAGAATGGACAGAGAAAGCCTTTGTGGCAAGAAACCCTCGTGTGTTGTTAAAGTAGATCTGGTGTTAGAAAATCCTCTGGAGCTTCATCGTGTTAGTATTCATGTTCAAGATGTTAACGACAACTCGCCAAAATTCAGAGAAAATTTGATTGAGATGGAAATACACGAGTTGGCTGAAAAGGGAAACCGCTTTTCTATCGAGGAGGCCCATGACGCAGATATTGGTCAAAATGCTGTTCAAAGGTACAACCTCAAAAGAATGACCATTTCATTTTATCAGTGGACAACACAAGGTTGAACTCGTGCTGGATAGTAAGCTCGATCGAGAGAAACAGAAGGAGATCAATTTACTCCTCACAGCTTTAGATGGAGCTCTCCTCAGAGATCAGGTACTGTAGTCATACACGTCACTGTGCTGGATGCTAATGATAACGCCCCAGTGTTCAGTCAGGCCGTCTATAAAGCCAGTCTGCCTGAAAACTC